GTAGTGATACTGCCTCGGAAACCCAAGGAGGGGTTGCTATGAGTCGGTTCCAACTCGAGGGCACATAACAACAACAACAGCAACAATCTTCAGTCTGATGTGTGTGCAGGGCAGACTCATGGAACTCTGGGCTATGGAATATATAGCCCCAAATATGGGGCCAAAAAGGAGCTATGGTGGTAAAGTGTTAACCAAAAGGTTGGCGGTTTGAACCCATAAGCTGCTCCATGGAAGAAAGATGAGGCAGTCTGTTCTGTAAAGATTTACAGCCTTGGAGACCCTTTGGGGGTAGTTCTACTCTGTCCTAAGGGATTGTTATGAGTTGGAATCTACTTGATGGCAGTGATTTTTTTTTTTTTTTTCTTCTTCTTTTTTAATGGAACCAAGAACCTTGTTTGGGCAAGTGTGTAAAGTTAAGGTTTTACAGAGAAGAAAAACTATTGTCTTATTCAAAGCATAAAACACAACCCAATTTGCTGTTTTGCTTCTATGTTTGAGGAATTTCTGAAAAGCTAACAAGGAAAACCACATTTCTTTTTATTTTTGTCTGGTCTCCTTAGCTTGTTTTTAATAGTCTAGTCATCCATTTAATATATAAGTGTTATTTATGTCTAATTATATGCTTTCTGATGTCCTAGTTAAAATTCTTGATCCTTTTCCTTTTCATTTGGTCCATTGAATCACCAAATGATGTCTTCAAACCCTTCATCAATTAATCAGGGGCTGATGGCTTTGTTTTGAAGCAGTCTCTTGCAGAAGCCCCCAGTTGGTAACGGAGCTGAACTGCCCTTGCAATGAACTTCTGTGCTGAACAACAGGAACTTGGCATGACCAGCAGTGACCTGTGCTTGAGCACCTGGTATGCAGTGCATGCTCAGTCTCTTAAACATGGCCATTTGGCAAGTGATGCAGGAAAAATGACTCTGTTGAAAACAACTTTATCTGAGGCTACTCTACAGTGCTCCACAGATCTCACCTACATGCCCTGTCCTCATTACCAGCAAAATGGTCCAGGTTTATAGGCAGAGTGGATTTCTAACACAGACTGTGAAAAATAGTTTTCCTCTGCGTGCCGCTCATGTTGCAGTACACAAGTTCTTAGTTTACCTTATTCTTATCATTCAATTGGTAGGATCATTATAGAAATCTAAGGGCAGATTTTTTTTTAATAGAAGCCAATCAAAAATTCATTGGCTAGGAAACACATACCACACATACATTTATAAAGAAATGTATATATAGTAAACGTGTATATGTGAAATATATAATTACATATAATGTATAAGTGAAATACATACATATATGTGTGTGTATAGGCATACACACACACACACACACACCTCTCTCTCTTTCTCTCTCTATATATAGTTGTATTAGTTGTTGTTAGGTGTCATAGAGTTGTCTCCAACTCATAGCGACCCTATGCACAGCAGAAAGAAACACTGCCTGGTCCTATGCCAGCCTCATGATCCCTGCTATACCTATGTCCATCATTACAGCCACTGTGTAAATCCATCTTGTTGAGGGCCTTCCCCTTCTTCATTGACCCTCCACTTTACCAACCATGATATCCTTCTCCAGGGACTGGTTCCTTCTGACAACATGACCTAAGTAGGTGAGACGAAGTCTGGCCATTCTCGCTTCCAAGGAGCATTCTGGCTGCACTTCGCCCAGGACAGATGTGTTGGTCGTTTTAGCAGACCACGGTACTCTCAGCATTCTTCTCCAGCACCACAAGTGAAAAGCATCAACTCTTCTTCAGTCTTCTTTATTCACTGTCCAGCTCTCGCATGCGTCAGATGCAATTGAAAACACTATGGCTTGGGTTAGGCGCACCTTAGTCTTTGAGTAGGTATCTTTGCTCTTCAGCACTTGAAAGAGATCTCTTGCAGCAGGTTTACCCAACACAATACGTCATCTGATATCTTGACTGCTGCTTCCATTGGTGTTGATTGCAGAATCAAGTAATATGAAGTCCTTGACAACTTCAATATTTTCTCCATTTATTGTGAAACTATTTATTGGACCAGTTGTGAGAATTTTTGTTTTCTTTATATAGAGGTATAATCCATACTGCAGACTATAATCTTCAATTTCCACCAGTAAGTGCTTCAAGTCATCCTCATTTTCAGCAAGCAAAGTTGTGTCATCTGCATGTGCAGGTTGTTAATGAGTCTTCCTCCAATCCTGATGCCACGTTCTTCTTCATATAATCCATCTTCTCAGATTATTTGCTCAACATACAAGTTGAATAAGTATAGTGAAAGGATACAACCCTGACACACTCCCTTGCTGATTTTAAACCACACAGTATCTCCTTGTTCTATTTGAATGACAGCCTCCTGATGTATGTACAGATTCCTCATGAGTACAACCAAGTGTTCTGGAATTCCCATTCTTCTCAATATCATCCACAATTTGTTATGATCTACACAATGGAATGTTTTTGCATAGTCAATAAAACATAAGTAAACATCTTTCTGTTATTTTTTGCTTTCAGCCAAGATCCATCTGACATCAGCAATGATATCCCTTGTTCCACATTCTCTTCTGAATCTAGCTTGCATTTCTGGGAGCTGTCAATATACTGCTGCAACCATTTTTGAATTATCTTCAGTAGGACTTTACTTGCATGCGATATTAATGATATTGTTTGATACCTCCCACATTCTGTGGGATCATCTTTGTTTGGAATGAGTATAAATATGGATCTCCTCCAGTCAGTTGGCTAGGTAGCTGCAGTGTAGTAAATTACTTTGTGTG